TGGTAGGTAGAAGGAGAAAGGCCGAGAGCGCATCGTGAGAAACAAGTCTGGAGGGCGCAGGATCACATGATGACCTATCACCTGCGAAGCCCTCCATACCATGTCCATACCATGTCCATACCATGTCCATACCACGTCCTTGCCATGCCATGTCACATGCTGCCAGACTTCAGAACCAGGAAGACAGAAATCAGACAACGAAGAAAAGGAAGTGCGAGCCACAGCCAAGCTCGTCCATCGTCGGTTACGACCTCCATGGGGCTCCAAGCCTCCAAACCCTCTGGCTTTCTCCGCTTCTGTAGCGTTAATCTACCTCGCATCGGAGGGTGTCTGCAGCTATCAATTTTAGGATAAGAGCACAGGGGCGAGATTCAGCCATGGATGTGCATCCTTGCTCTTCCTACTATGATGTGCGGCGACATTAACTCCAGCCCATGGCTAGGATTGGCCATTGTACCTCTGCTGGTTTTAGACGCTGGGTCAACAACCAGCCCTGACACAAGTACGAACGAACTTCTCTGCGCGCCCATCCTCTTTTCCGTGAGGGAGTAGTAGTTACCCATTCCGGCACTATCTAGTATCATCACCATGCGGAGAATCGTGGAGAATCATTGCCTTGTATCGACTTAGCCAACCGTCCGTGCACTGGAAACCCATCCTCTTAGGGCCATTTGTGGCCCAGTCGAGTCCCACAGAGACTGGATCGCGGCTTCCTTTGAGGCCTCGAATGCTCTATCTCTCGCTCGGTCTGTAAGTGTGGAGTAAGAAGAGGAGACTACTTGGTCTGACGCAAGACTGGATTGAAGAGGGCGAGGTCAACACTATGGAGTAGTGCCGTTTGGCCCGCTGGGCTCGCAATCCTGGCCCACCCTTTGATTATCATAGATGAAGTGTAATTTCTTTTTCTCGCACCGCGTGCCGGCTTATCAGCTCGGAAGATAATGTCCTATCCACCTAGACCTTGAGATTCCTGGCTAGGCCCTTCAAAAGGCGATCGCGGTGATGCTGGAAAAGGGCCGATCCATGGTGATGAACCAATTGGGAGAGGTAGAACTCCACTCGAAGCACTAAAAACTCCTTGGTCCAAAGTCTGCCATGGCCAGTCTGACACGAAAGGCAATGGGTGCGATATCATAGGCGTCCTACCAGCCGTTGGTGTATCTCGGAGGATTTGACATCGTCGGTGGCGGGTGGAAACCAGAGGCAAGTGCTGTAAGCCTGGGAGGTGAGAGACACGAAACTGATCACTAGCCGGGAGTCGATGATGAGAGGATCTAAGGTTTGCCGAAAGGGTTTGGAAGGCAACGAGAAAAGAAAACAAGAAAAGAAAAATCGAGGTAAAATGAATTCTAAGTTCAAGGGAAAAAAAGCAATGAAAGACCAAAAATGGGCAAGAAAGGAAAGGCAGCGAGGAAATTATGTGAAGAGCAGAATCAGGGAATTAGGCAAAACAATGAAAAGGGGAAAAAAAGCGCATTCCTCCTTGAGACACCACCATCGGCAGCACCCTGAAAGGAGCAAACGTACCGGTTCGCTGCGAATAATTAATTCCTTGCTGACCTGCGGCAAGCGCGCTTTGCGCGACCTGAAGCGGTTGCAGCGCAAGACCCCAGATGGGAAGAGAGTGGAGAGCTTGTCTTAAGACGGTCCCGAAATCTGGGCTCATGCTGGAAAGGTGGATCGCCCGCTGAAATCTGGTAGCCTTCTTTCTTTCATTGTTCAGGTGAGCAACATGTTGTGGTTGCTGCTGCTGCTGCTGCTGCTCCTGGTGGTGTTGCTGCGGCCACTTTTATCGCTCAATGACTAGCATGTTACTCTTCTGCAATGTATGCAATGTATGTATATGCACATCGCGTCCAATCTCGCTAGTCGGTTCATGGTGTAGGGTCTGCATCCCGTGGAGAACGCAATAAAGGACTGGCTGTGACGGCTGGAGGGACTGCAAGGACACCTCATAGTACGTCAGAGTCGATTACATACTTTCTCTGAACGACTTAGCCTCGAGATAGTGTCACTGCCGCTCCGAACCCGTCTGACCAGTCGCAGCGTCCGAAATGCCCAGCAGGCCCGGCACGTCGATGAAGGCTGATGGAGACCTCCTGGGTGCCTTCAATCGGTCTCCAGCATGGCAGGCAGACCCCGTAGAATTTCATAGCCGCCTAATTGATGACCACCGTTCTCTTACGTTGGAGCTGATGACCCAGCCGATGCCGAGCTGATGCCGGCTCACGCAGGATCCCACGCGCTTTCTCTCGGCCCATCGCTCACTCCATCGCACAGGGGATGAACAATGTAGGATAATTTCTCATCAATCCGGTCTGGAGACATGCCTGCCCGGCTTTCATGCTAGAGTGCGCCATTTCTTTCTCATGCCCCTTCTGTCGTCGCGAAACCGACTTCTTCTCTCCTGCGTCCGCTCCGGGGAATAAAAGACGAATACCGCTGGGGCGGAACCGCAGGAACCTGTTAGACAGGGGAGGCAATGTGTCCTGAACTCGGATCGGGTTCAGCTCACGAGGTCTTTCCAATCGAGGCGCACAGACAAAAATACGCGTGGGCTCCGCCTGACGATTTTCCTCGGAAGGCGCAGAGGTACCGTCACAGCCATGACTATTCTTTTCACCAACCCCATGGTATGTGAGTAAGCGCATCAAGTTCGTGCCACATTCGCTCAGCTCGAGCGAGTAGATAATAGGTATTGGTACCGTCGCAAGTATACTGGAGGCTTAGTACATGCTCCGGCTGCGGATCTAGAGCGGAGACGGACCTGCGCATCGTTGGGTCCTACTAAGCCACTTAGAGTTCGCCTCTCGATGGGTCCTCCTCCCCGCGTTCACCAGAAGGCCCCAGTCAACTTTGATTTCGACAAAATGCTGGATAATCTGGTTGGATCATGTGCATGCTGTCAGGTCTTTTTCTTTTTTCGGGGCGGCGAATTGCGGCTTTTGCGGGGAAAGACAGAACGTATCAGAAACCGACCCAATGTACTGAATCCGGAATGTAGAAATCCCCTTGTTGATATCGTCTGACCTAATGATGATCCCGGACACTATAACCTGCCGTCATGAATATAATTGGGGCTATTACCCTCACCGGGGGAAGGGTTTCGCCATCGTTAGTGCGGCCCCGGTCTGGTTTGCATTGCGAAGGCTTTGATATATAAGAGTGGTCAAAGATCCTTTGCAAACCGGCCTCTAACCCTCCACCATCTTCCTTTCTGTGTCAGAGCCTATCTTACTCTTTTCCGTGCAAAGTATTCTCATCGGGCAATGAATACCTCTATATGCGTTGGAGTCGCGTTTGCGTTTCTTTTCCTTATCATTTCGAAATTCCGAAAGACCCTCTTGTCGAGATTGGTCTCCACACCGGGCAATGAGGTGAAATGCAGTGACCTCAAACCATACCCGGCTCAACCCATCAAAGGTCGAGAGAGGTACCGAGTGATGATGGACGTCCGGAGGTTAGACGTGGCAAACTGGCTCACTGTTGACAACAACTACATGGACGAGCATGTTGTTCGGGGTCAATTGCTGGAGAAGGAAAAGAGCAAAGTACTGCAATGCCTTCCAGAGTCATACGACGCGTGCATGGAAGCATTGGAGGAGGTGGTCGACTTCCTTTGTCAACGGTTTTCGACGGTGTTCGAACGAAAGAAGTCCGGTAACGAGTGGACCATCCATAACAAAATGACGGGTGAGACGTTTGTCTTTGGTGGAGAGAATAAGGAAATCGATCCGCTCGAGGTTGCCGTGAGGTTGACGATGGAGGATCTGAGCATCCTGATGAAGAACGAAGACGACGAGTACTACCTGTCAGTATACACCATAGCGACCCATGATCGCATACTCGGACAGTGACTGATGATTTCGGACAGAGCGGCCAGCGCAAGTCTATTCCCGGTGGGATGGACGGTGCAGGAACGTATCGGGTGGACGATTTCCAAACTTCACAATCCTGTGCCTCTGTGGCACCAGCAAGTCGCTAACTCTGTCAGCAAGTGAGTGGCCTCCTTCATAGCTTAGCCGCGATGAGTGAGGAGAGAAATGCGGTAATTAATTCCTTGCATTTAGATTTCTTGCTCGCCTGACTCCAGAGTCGCCGATGGAAAGATCCAATTATTTCGTCGAAGTGAAAAGACCCGACGAAGAACTGTTCGATATTCTCTACCGCCCGACTTCGTTGTCTGAAGACAATCCAGATCCATCCCCACAGGATATTGTGATTCGACGTGAGCGTCAGACATTTCGTCGATTACCTCGTACGGGGACGATTGTGTTCGGTGTCAAGACTTTCTTGACAACATTGGAGGAACTGCCAATGCAAGAGCTGCAGAATCTTGCGAAGGAGATCAAGAGTTGGCCCGAGTATGTGGGAGAATACAAGGGTCGGGAAATCTGGGGACCAAAAGCACTCGAGTTCTGCGAAAGGAAAACTCGGATGATGGAAAAGCAGGAGGTCTAATAAGAGGAAGGAGGAATGATGGCAGGCGCGGAAACAGCATTGGTGGTATTTTGCCTTTCACGCTTCGCATCCCTTCGTTGCATTTGGGCCAGCAAAATCGATGGAGAGGGCGGCTGTCTGACAATTACTTGCAAAAGTCATTGTCCTTAGCATTGCATCTGTACTTTTGAGCCTGTTTTGTTTTGTTTTGTTTTGTTTTGTCTTGTCTTGTCTTGATATCCGTTGTTGGGCTGGTTGTCTGTCTATCTGTCTGTCTGTCTGTCTGTCTGTCTGGTTGGCTGGTGGCTATTTGTTCTGTTCCTGGCGGTTCTACTCACTGGCATGGTAGAGATTGGGTGGTTTGTATGATTGATGACGGTTATAACACTGAACCATAATGATGATGATGAAGTATGAATGGAGAAAATTGACCTTGGATGATGTTCTCGAGCAACAGGTTGCGTTGATATTGAAGCATAATCAACAAATAAGGATTCAACATGTTATACGAAACATTACCGACGTGTGGATATGATTGAATTAGAACGAAGCCAGTGTAGAGAAGCAGACGGATAGACCAATGGATTGGAACATCTGTCGAGTATGCAATAATTACATAGAGAATATTGTATATTCAAATGACAGTTCTATAAGATGCAGGACGGGTATAATATGTAGGTGTCACATTTCTCAGATCTTAGACCGTGGCGGTTCATCCTGCTTGAGCCGTACGACACCCTAATCCTCTGCAGCATTAGCACTGACCCAAACCAAGTGGGGACTTCGAACACGTAGGACAATCATACCTCTTGCGTGCATGTGGCGATTAGAATTCCTTCTTTGGACCAGAACTTCTGAAGAACCAAGCCTCTTCCCTCGCCAGCCCACGGGCTTTCCATCTCGGAGAACATCCATTCGTCTGCCCGGAATGCCCAGGGATTGTGGAAGTAGATTGAGTGGTCAAGGCTTACCATCATGCCCACTTCCTTGTGCTCTTCGGGGCCCTGATTTGTAGCCTTGCTCAAAGCGCCCTCTAGGCGACGGCGAAGCTCCACAGTCTCTTCCTCTTTCAGCTCCTTCAGCGCACGTGCGATATCTTCATCATCCAGGTCTGACGGGTTCTTGAGAGCGTTGAGAAGCTTCTCGAGCTCGGCCGGCGAGGAAAAGCGTGGGATATCGTGGACTCTTGACACAGTGCCAATGAAGTAGCTGTCGGTAATGTATGCAAGGGCGGACAGGTGGGCACGGTGTCCTCCTGCATCGGATATCTTCCCTCGTGACCGGAAAAACCGTCTGACCTTTTTGTCTTCCGGGGCCAAGTGACCTACGACTTGTTAGTCCACGGCATCAAGGTAAGCCCATCAATACGCGTTTGAGTACTGACGATTTACAATCCCCGCTCTGTGTGATTCGAATGGCCCGCCGCCTGATTGTTGGAATGCCCGTTTGGCACCAGCTTCCGACTCCTCGGGTAGCGCGACGGACGGCATAGATGAGGCATGCTCAAGCTTTTTTCGACCGCCACTGTTGGCTTTGCTGAAACTTAATGTGGTGGTGAATATAGGTCGACCGCGCTGCCTAGCTTGCACCGTGCGGGTGATGAAACTTCGACCGTCGCGGACTCGCTCGACATGGTAGACGATGGGGATTTCCGAGTCGCCGGCCAAAACGAAATAGCAATGCATGCTGTGGACGGCAAAATCATCGGGGACAGTTCGCATCGCGGCGGCAAGAGATTGGGCGATGGCGGCACCGCCGTAAATGCCTCGTGCGCCCGGGGGATGCCAAAGGGGTCGGGTGTTTGTGAATACATCCTGGTTGGATCAGGCGGAATCAGAATTAGCCCCTCAGATTGAAGAAAGAAAGAGAGATCAGAATCAGCGTCATACTCTGCCCACGTCAACCACAGGGGTCAACTCTAAGACGTTCTCTATCGGCGCCTTCAAAGGGTCCAGCGGCGGGGGTTCGAACAGGGTTACGGATTTGGCCATGGTGGGCACACACAGTCCCTAACAAGCACAGAAAGTAGTATTGAGCGGTTGCAAGGTGCTGAGATAAGAAGGATGCTCTTCTAACTCGAAGCAGGGTTCAGGAGTCAAGACAATCTTTGGAGGGGAAGTTGGAGTCTTCACTTTCCAAGTCCCGCCTTGCTGTTCCGCGCGGTCTGTCCTAATCGGGTAATTGCCGAGGTTCCATTTTTGTGGATCGGATTATGAAATGATCTTCGTGGATGGAGTCGTTCGTTAAGTCATGGTTAATGCACATTGATCTGGTATAATGGAGCTGTCGAGACGAACTTTTTCAGTGTCAGCCTCGGCAAGACTTCGAAGTGCGACCGCCAGCGTGTCAGAAGACAGCTGTTGCACAGCCGCTCTCTCATGATTATAGATGCTGTGCTTACACATGCTCCATTCTGTGGTGGGTATGTCTGCCAGAGGCGTGGAAGACAGATTGTTCAAGTATGAAACTCAATGCACTTTCTGTCTACCTTGAGCGGCACCCATGACTGATATATTTTCAGACTCTACAAGATTAGGCACCTATCCCAACCCATTCCCTACACCAGCATGGCTTCTATGCCTAGGCCACGCTGAAAGTAGACCCAAAAGAATGAAATGGTAAGCGAAGTAGATTCGAAGACGCAGATGGCTCTGTGAGCCAGTGGCCCAGTGCCACAGCTATGTACTCTAGCTTCGCTATGTTTCAGATGATCTTAACAAGCGACGACTAGGCTGGATTGAAAATAGAAAATGGAGAAGGTACTACAAATGTTGATATAAGTGACTACGACACCAGTGAGCTTTCAGGTGCATCGACGAGTCACAAGTGCTGCTGTTTTGTGCAACTGTAATCACATAAAACACATATCTAACATCCTTAGGGAATCCGAGGGCATCTCATCGAAAATAATTTTCCTCCCGAGGAGGAGGTATGAAGGTATTCCAGCCCTTCCCCGGATTAACCAGCTCGGGAGTGTTGACTTGGAAGGTCTTTGGGTACACCTTGGAGCTTCGCTTCTTCTGAGAGTACTCTGGTTCCAACAGTCGCTGTAATTGCTGGCGCTGCATTTCTTCATCAGTCAAGTGCGGGCGATGACGATCACCCGCTCGAGATAAGCCGGGGATGTCCCACGCATAGGCCCATAAAGCTCCAAGGCCAGAAAGAAAGGCGAAGGCGCTGGGAAGGCCCAGGCTGACAATTTCCAGGTCGCCCAGAGGGAGCAGGTTTCGATAAATGACGTTGAGCAGGACGTTTAAGAGAGCGAGGAGGTTTGAACCCAGGCAAGGTCTAAAGAAGCATTAGCTGGATGGAACGGAAGATCGTCAAGGAGCACGTACAGGAACAGAGAATAAAGCAGGAAATGGTGGTCCTGAGACTGAAAGCAGACGACTGCGAGCGACAAAGAGTATGCAATGGCGATGAGAATGAAAGCTGCGATCGTCGTGGGTGTCTTATTCGCATGGGACTCGGCCTCGTCATCCCCGAATGCTAGAGGGAGAACTAGAAACCTTCACAAATAGACTCATCAGCACCTTGTTCTATGCGTTATTTGCGATGGACAAGGACACACCCCACAAGGAGCGCTTGCGACGAAAATGCCGCGGAGAATTTCCATAGTGAACTGACGAGCTGTCGCGGTATTTGTCGCTCCTGCGATGCTACAGACAATTCCTGAAGTCGAGGGGTAGACATCGCAGGTGACCCCCAGCTTACAGCTTCTGTGGGGTCCAAGGGAGCACTGACAGAAGCTGTCATCGGTGTGGTCTTGGGTGTACCTTAGACCAGAATGAGCGCGAGGAGCAATACGTAAGGGAGGCGATATTTGATCTAAAAACCGGCGGTCAACGAAGTAACCACGACGATACAGCGCGGAAAGTGCGATGCTTGATGCAGCTATCGAGGTAGAAAACGATGGCTGTGCAGCTGATGGACGGATTCGAGGCGCATGGCAGAAGGGGTAAGAAAAATAAGATGGCAGTTATAGAACGTGGTCACAGGGGTCGTGCATCATAATCTCTGGCATTCATTTGATCAAAACTTTGGGGCCGCGACTGATAGATTTCAGCGGGCGAATGGCGTGGAGTTGATGGCTGCATACTAGTTTAGTGCTGCTGCTATAGCTTCATTTATTTTGCGGTTGCTCAGGAGTATTCAATGTCGATCAGTCTTGTATAGCTCTCAACCCACGTGTGATACAGGCTGCCATTTTCCATATGCTTACTCCGCTTTCTTTCCCTCCCTCTCTCTCGCTCTCTCCCTTTGATGCATGTCTGAGGTCAAAATCCCTCATAAAACACTCAGGATGAGTAATGGGAGAACGGGAGGAATTGAAGTGGTGTGGGGGGGGGGGGGGGGGGGGAAAACGGCCGAAGGATTTTGCTCTGGCCCGAGCACTTTATCAGCAACAGTCGACAACAGCCTGTCGATTTATGTGGCCCCACTAGCTTGCAGAACATATCTTGATTCTTAAGGTCTGAATAGGAGGCAATTCTGTTTTTATTGATGGCTTATTTCAAGCCCTCGAGAACGCTTCTCCTCTTCCTCAGCTGTTTACATTTCGGGTTCTGCATTGGTCAGGCGTTTCATGATATGAGTAGTCTCCAGGAAGTCTACAATCATACTATGCGTCCCTAGTTGAGCTTGAGATTCTTTCGTTGTCTTGGCGGGCTTCGTATTGTCGGCAGCCTTGTATTGAGTACGTTAGCTCCGGCTGAATCCCGTTGACTTGGAGTATCACAACAAGCCCATGCAGCTGAAGCAAGCCGCACTTCTTGATTGTTCCAGTCTCTAGGCGCTATCGCATTTTTGAATCACGAAATCTCGACAAGTTCACCGAGTACTAGAGTATATATAGCTTTCAATGTATCTTTGGATGTTCAACAGGATACGAAGATAGACCCGTAAGCACAAGGCTCGAGATCACATATCTTCATCGAATACTTATCGTCAAGCCTTAGTACACCAGGGGCCAAATCATCATGGCGAGTCGAGCGGTCATTTCAGACTCTGTATTTCTAATCTCCTTGAAACCGTGGTTAGTGGAAGCCAATTTGCTTTATACTGCCACATTTTGATGTCGAATGCGACGGAAATGCACCACTGATGATGAGAACTGTTTTCCCTGCGCTTTTGAACCCACCCATACTATGACAACTATTTCATCTTTCGACTAGGGAACCACTCCTATCAGTGGTGACGAATTGTATACGCCTTGGAATAATATCCACATGTTTCTCCGTAGTAAGCTCTCGGACAACATATGGTTCCTTCTCGGAAGGACTCAAATTGAGTATGGCACATGTGAGGCCGGAAACAGGTCCGAGAATTGCTATACTGGATGAAGCCTGGGGTTGTCGGCCGCGGATTGGCAAATGAGGCAATATCTCCTAGAACCTGAGCAATATGACCACTGCTCTCCGTGTGCATATACAAACTCATGCCACTGTCAGTGCCGAGGATTCGCCTCTACATGAGAGTAAGGTTGACTGGTAAGACATCCCTCGTGGCGTTGTAAAGATCGCCAAAAGGATACACGAGTTCTTCCTTCTCGATGAGACAGCCTTCGTACTGATAGTCCATTGTCATATTTCGCGTCTTTCCGTTGAGAGCTCTGACTTAGAAGCTAAGGAAGCCTTGGGTATGTGTCAACCTTGAAGGGGATGCAGGGTCGTAGGTAATGTGATAGACCGTCAAACATAGTATAAGATGTATCGACTCTTCCAAGGGGCATTCATTGGCTAGTCGTAGGCGTCGATCGACGGGAGGAGTATGAGAACTGTAGACTGAATTGAAATTCTAGAATAGTCTATGGGTAACCTTGAGACAATATAGTGAGTTGACAACTTGTCTCCCGAAAGTATGGATTGGGCTTCAGATTCAGATCACTGTATCCATGGTTGATTGAGTTACATCGTCAGCATCATTGAATGATAGGCCCGCATTACACCAGTTCCGCACTGCATTTGTGAAGAAGCTCTCAGGGATAGAGGCACAATCGCGATGTTCGAACACCTTGTGGGCGACAGGGTTCAAAGACCCAAATATAGCATCGTGGATGAAATCCGCCTGGAGATCTCGGTCGGCTTCCCGTTGACCGAAGGGGATTATGCGCCAATCCGGGATCTCGTCGGTCTGGGCGGAGTTCCAAGGATCCAGGTGTTTTTTATGGTCAAAGAGAATCAGATGATGTCAGCCAGATATCGCTCGTCCTCGTAGCGACACGCGTGTCGATTTTAAGGACAATAACCAGGAGAAACATGGATAGATAGGGGAGAATGAGAGGAAGGCCATCACTACCTAGGTAACCATGTCTCTCTTCATCTGACAAGTATGGCGGGTAACTACTGTAACTACCTAGTACTGGAACTACCGGGAGAACGGGAACTGCAATGCCTCAGGCTCGAAGGAGGGAGGAGGGAGGAGGGCTTATCAAGATCTTCTTCAAGGTTCCAGTAACAAACAACTGGAATCAATGTTAGACAAGCCACCTGCCACTTGTCAAGGGATCCCAAGAATCGATAGTAAACGAGCAATTGGGAGATCAAGAGTGATTCAGTCAGCCCTATTAATGATCCTACCAATGCTATTGTTAGCATTACTCAATTCCTTATGCTATGACGACTCCTCAATAACCATGTGTTGACCGGGAGATCGGAGTTAAAAGCGGTTCCAAGGCGCGGTGCATTGGCAGCGAAAAGTTTTCGGGTTCCGCTAGCCACTAGGGCCAAAAGCAGCGAGGTTCCGAAGCCATCCCTTTCAAACTCTCCCTCCCCCGTTGCCGGCCGCCTCCATTTTCTTCCTTTCCAATCTCTGCAAAGCTTCAACCGCTTCGCTCTTCTTTCCTTTCCCCTTCCTCTTCCCCTTCCCCCACACTCCTCTCCTCCTTTTCGTTTTGTTTTTCATAACATCCCATATACCCTTCATACATAATGTCCGCCACTACCCCTAAGGCCGACGCGCCTACTGGCCTCGGCCTCTACTCCAGATTCGCCTTCGCTGGTGCTGTCTGCTGTTCCGTCACTCACGGAGCTCTCACTCCTGTCGATGTGTAAGTCGGACACCGTCTCGTCTCGCCCCCGTCGCAATTGACCGAACGCGCTCGGTGTTCCGCCTGTGCGCGCGCTCGATCGACTTGAACCCGTCCTGCCATCCGACCATGCCCGTTGCTAACGTCCTCTCTTTCTCGTGCCTTGCAGCGTCAAGACCAGAATCCAGCTTGACCCCGTCACCTACAACCGTGGTATGATCGGTGGTTTCAAGCAGGTCATTGCCAACGAGGGTGCTGGCGCTCTCCTCACTGGTTTCGGTCCTACCGCTGCCGGTTACTTCCTCCAGGGTGCTTTCAAGTTCGGAGGTTACGAGTTCTTCAAGCAGCAGTGGATCAACCAGCTCGGTCTGGAGACTGCCTCCAACAACCGCACCGCCATCTACCTTGCCTCTTCCGCCACCGCTGAGTTCTTCGCTGATATCGCCCTGTGCCCTCTTGAGGCCACCCGTATTCGTCTCGTCTCCCAGCCTACCTTCGCTTCCGGTCTCATGAGCGGTTTCGGTAAGATCCTCAAGAACGAGGGTATCGGTGCTTTCTACTCTGGTTTCGGTCCTATGCTCTTCAAGCAGTATGTCTTCCCGCGACGTCCCGGTCGTCCGCGCCCATACATACGTCTATGCGCCATCGCTAACTTCCGACAGGGTTCCTTACACTATGGCCAAGTTCGTCGTTTTCGAGAAGACCGTCGAGGCTGTCTACGGCTTCGTTGACAAGAACTCCGTCTCCGAGGGTGCTAAGACTGGTATCAACCTTGGCTCTGGTCTCATTGCTGGTTTCGCTGCTGCCATCGTCTCCCAGCCCGCCGACACTATGCTCTCCAAGATCAACAAGACCCCCGGTGAGCCTGGTGAGGGTACCGTTTCTCGTCTCATCAAGATCGGTAAGGAGCTTGGTCTCCGTGGCTCTTACGCCGGTATCGGTGCTCGTCTCTTCATGGTAAATTCAGTCCTCAAAAAATGGCAGATCGGGACTTTGAAGACTAATTTCCTTTCCAGGTTGGTACCATCACCGCTGGTCAGTTCGCCATCTACGGTGACATCAAGGTACGTGGATCCCTGTTCGTCAGCTGCTTCCGAAGCAGATCGCTAATTGAGTATTGTAGCGTCTCCTCGGTGCCACTGGTGGTGTTGAGATCGGCAAATAAGCGTCGAATTGTACGATTACTTGACTATGTTAGACCTTTAGTTTTGATACAATGCATATATATTAGATTAGAGCATGGTTCTTGGAGCTTGGATCCCGCCAACGCCACCAACGGTGGTTTTGTACCAATCAGGCGTAATTAATGCCGATCACATCGGTACGGAACAAGTACCCTAGCATACTGCAAGCGTTACTGTATGTTCGTCATGATATCAGGGTTCGGAATGGAACGACTTGTGTGATTTACTATATGTGTGGATTAGCATTCGTTCATGAGCACATCAGTATAGGAGTGGAGTGTCAAAGCACCCATAGCCCTTCACCACGCTCATCTCATCCACGCCGGCAAGCTTGGTCTTGAATGACCACCCTGCAACTGTGTTACTCAGAAATTCCGAGCCCTCCATCGTCCTCTTCTTCCAGATACAGGTCCCGATCACGCCGAGCTCCGATACGACCTGGCCCGAGCCAATGCCCTGCGGCGACATGAGTACATTATACACCGCCGGCGAGCGGATGCGCTCCATCAAGATGTATGCACACCACGCGGACGGCGCAACCGAAGCCAGAAAATCCGGTATATTCGCCCCGTAGACATTGTGACATCCACCCTCCAGTGATGGTTTCAGCACGAAGTGCTCCGCGACATCGGGATCAGCTGCCCACTTTCGAGCCCGCACACCCGCTTGCGACTCATCCAGCGGATACATGGGGACGAACGTCTTCCTGATCTTGGCTGCCTTCTCCGGCGACAGGAACCTCTCCACCGAGCCGGGCTCTGCGAGGGCTTGCTGGACCTTCTTGAACGTGAGGATCTGTGCCAGTAACGTCGGGCACTTGATCGCTCGGGATGTCTCCAATCGGACGCGCGCGCTCTTGCCTGCATCGTTGTATTCGTCGGCTTCGTAGCCGGCGCGCAGGTAGACGACGGAGATCTCGATGGGGGCTTGTAACTGCAGCCACGGTGGGTGAAAGAGCAGCTCTTTCGTTTTGGACAGGGAGGTGTGTGCGAGGAGATCGTCGCCCCATTCGACACGGTAGGCGGGGACGGGACTGTCTCGATTCCACAGCGCATATTCGACGGGCCGTTCGTCAGCAATGTTGAAGTTCTGGGGCTGGACAACAAAGAGGACGGCTGTTTTGGCAGCTACCTTGCTCTTTGCTTGCCCATAGAGGGCGTGCGCTTCTGCGAGGCAGGCACCTAGTGATTGAATATTGTTGTTTTCAGGCAAGGCAGCAAGACTAACAGGTGAACCCCCGTTTGTGAGGGAAGCGTATGCGCCTGTACGGGTAAAATGGCGGTGCATATCCACGGTCTTTTGGGCGTGGGAGGCCCCGGCGCAGGAGAAGGTATTGAACTCGACTTGCTTCAGCTGCGGGGTGGAGATAGGGCCGTCGGCTGGGTCGATAGCCAGTTTTGAGGTTCCGTCGCCTTGAAGCATGTAGTCTGAACGGAATATTCCACATGAAATGTTTTGGATGTACCCATCTACACGCTTGACCTTCCGGTGTATCTCCCACAAAGCCGCAGCAAGCGAGTTGACATGAAGTATCTCTTGTAGGGTTGTTTGTATCCAATGCTCATCTTCGGTCATAGCACAGTACAGCTCGTGATAGATGCTCTGCAGTTCGAGTGCTTGATCGAAATGCGCTCGAGGGAATGGCGTTGGAAACAGCGTCACTCCGATGGGACAGCAGAGGACACTATGCGCAGACTGACTGCGGACGCGCTTGAGCATGGAGCCATGGTTGATTTGCCAATCTTGAACGCTGGAAGCCAGCCAGAGGCGTTGCTCCTCGGATAGTGGTGGAGGGTACATGTCAGGTTATTGTGCACATGGATGAACAGTAGTATATTTGACACCATTGGCCATCTTATCTCAAGCACGGATCTGACATAATGAGTGAATAGCAGTCCGCTCACCGCAGAGCTGTGCACTGCCTCATTCCCTCATTGCCTCAATTCTCACTGGGCCTATGGCCGATGCGCATGTGGACGATAACTGATTAAGTGTCGATCTGATTCTAAGTCTAATGTAGTTAGCGCGCTGACTCCACCGTATCCGCTTCGGTGCCTGAGGATTGCCGCCCTTCCTCCGCCGCCGCCGCCGCCCCCGAATCTGTGCTTGTGCCTGGCCATCATCACATCTCGATTGATAATCATCCACTTTGATCATGCTCTAAACTCCTCCCATCACTTGCTATGTCGACCATGTATTCTGGGCTCGTTTGGGCCCTTCCCTTCGTTCTTCTTCTATTCACAATTTCCGTGACCTCTGAGCACACATCGAACTGGGCCGTTCTCGTCTCTACCTCACGCTTCTGGTTCAACTACCGCCACCTCGCCAATGTCCTCTCTCTCTATCGCACCGTTAAGCGGTTGGGGATTCCCGACTCGCAGATTATCCTAATGCTCCCCGACGATATGGCCTGCAACCCCCGCAACGCTTTTCCCGGAACCGTTTACAGTAACGCCGACCGCGCAGTCGATCTTTATGGCGACAACATCGAAGTCGACTATCGCGGTTACGAAGTCACCGTGGAGAATTTCATTCGCCTCCTGACCGACCGTCTCGACGAAGATGTGCCCCGCAGCAAACGGCTGGGTTCCGACGCAGGAAGCAACGTTCTGGTATACATGACCGGCCACGGGGGCGACCAGTTCCTGAAGTTCCAGGACTCGGAGGAGATCGGGGCATGGGATCTGGCGGATGCCTTTGGTCAGATGTGGGAGAAGAAGCGCTACCATGAGCTTCTGTTCATGATCGATACTTGCCAGGCCAACACCATGTATACGCATTTCTACTCGCCCAACATCATCGCTACCGGATCGAGTGCGCTCGACCAGTCCTCGTACTCCCACCATGCGGACAGCGACGTGGGTGTCGCGGTGATTGATCGGTGGACATACTATGTGCTGGAGTTCCTCGAAACGCAGGTCACGAGTGCGAACTCGAAGCAGACTCTGGGCGACCTCTTCGATTCTTACGATGAGTCTAAGATCCATTCCCAGCCGGGTGTGCGGTGGGATCTCTTCCCTGGCGGCGAGCAAGAGGGTCGCCTGCGGACGGTGGTGGACTTCTTCGGAAATGTCCAGAATGTCGAGGTTGAGAATGTCAATGCCACTGAGCCGGGCTCCCTCAAAGAGGACCTCATTGAGATCGCCCGGCTGGTCGAGAAATGGCGCACACACGACCGGGACATGTTTGCCGGGCACAATGATTCGCTTCTGCAGGAGGGGGCAACCGTTTCACGTCCGGAGTCAGACATGCATCATCAGGTATTCCCGCATCACACGGTCAAGATGAAGGTTGGACCCGCGAGGATGACCGAGGAGTCCACCTGGGAGAAGCGGTTCATTGGATTGACTGTGCTTGGTGCATGTGCTGCCGTCTGGCTCGGCGGCTCGGTTCTAGGCGCGAGCCCTGCTTGATTTGAGATGTTGTATAGCGTGTAAAGCGTGTGAAGTTTTTCGTATATTCAATTGGTGTTCATGCTCACTATACCTAAGCTCGTTCAATTTTAATCTCCTTCTCTTTTTCTATCACAAAATTACTTGCTTTTTATAGGCCTTGCTAATCAAGATGATTATGATTACTGGGCGTAGTGACGCAGAGGAACCGGCGGCAATTGCTCTATTGACCATATTCAAGCAACAATCGTAAACGCAGGTCAACCTGGAACCACAAGCAAGGAGCCCTGCAACCAGGTATGATATCATTGCTCTTAGGACGAACTCATACAAAGCAATTAGATCCTGGTCCTTGGTCTAGTTACGGGGGAATCAATGTTCATTTGCATGTGGTGCAACATCCAGCAGCAGGAACGAACCCCTCCGTGACAAACAGATACAAGCGCGTAACACGAGAGACGGAAGTGTGAGAGAAGAATTGGGAACATTGTCAGCCCTTCCTTCGCAACACCAGCAACTGAAAGTATGCTGAAGGTCCTCAGCAACAAGAGTAAAAGAAAAAAAAAAGAAAAAAAAGAACAAAAAGGGAAAGGGGGAAGGGGAAAGGAGAACCTTAAAATTCTTCAGTGGAAACCAATTGAAATGGGAGTAAAGCAATTGAAGTCAAAGCAATTGAAGTAAAGCAATGAATCCTAAAAGAGAAAAAGCAGGCTTGGCGGCCACTCGACCTCCGCACGTGCCAGACGCGTCTTTTGGGCCCTGGAGATGCGCGACGGGAAAACCGATTATTACTTCGTTACTTCTGTTAACTTACTTTAGCCGCTCAACTGCCCTCTCTTGACTCGATCTCAATTGTCGTCTCCAGGCCTCAAGAAACATCTCACCCCTCTTAGACAATGGAGTCTTGGACCGTCTAGAAAATTGTTCTTACCTTCACTTGCAAAAGATTGCTCCTCCTACTTCTCTCCCTCCCATTGTTATCCCACCATCTTTCTATAAACCCCCCCACGGAGTTGGGGCCTGTGGAAGGGGGCCCTCTCTGTCGCTGTTGCTGCTGCTGCTGCTGCTGCTGCTTCTGTTGTTGCTCCTTGCACTTCGCTGCCTGCTTTATCTGCCTGTTGACAACTTCCCCCGGAATACTATCGTTAACCCGCGCATACACACGCGCGCGCGTGTGTGGAGGTGATCCTCTATAAGAACTTACCCACCACCTACAACAAAAGACCGGCCTAGCGGACCCTTGTCTTCGACCTTCGAGTCGAGGAGAGAAGTAGTGCGGCGGGGGTGTGTCTTTTCGCGCCTTGCCTAGTTTCCACCGGGCGCCATGTATCTCCCTCGTCAACTCATCTCCCATCTATACCTCCAATTACTCCGCTCACATCACCCATTGTCCCCTCCGGTGCTGATCCTCGTCGCCCTCGAACCCGATGCGCTCTGTGCCTGTCGAATCCTGACCGCCCTACTGAAGCGCGACTACATCCCCCACAAGATCCAACCAGTGGCCGGCTATGGCGATCTCTCGCGCGCCGGCGAGGAGCTGGTCAAGCCCATGCGGACGACGCATGGCGGTAGCGGGGGTGTTGTCATCTGTCTTGGGGTGGGTGGCTTGGTCGACCTGACGGAGATCTTGTGCTTGAGTGGCCCGGACGAGGAAGACGAAAACAATAATGAGGACGATGAGGGACGAGGGGCTCAGGATATGGGAGGGGTCGAGGTTTGGGTCTTCGACGCACGACGGCCCTGGAACCTCTCTAATGTGTTCGGGGGCGAGGCTATTGCTGATGCTGGTGGCATGGCGGACACGGGGACCGGCAATGAGAGACGGAAACCGCGCGGGGTGGACAGAGGGTGCATCACGCCCGGGTATGCGTCGGGCAATGGGGGTATTGTGGTCTATGACGACGGAGATATCGAGGAGGAGCTGGGTAGGGAGAGGGAGGCGTATTGTGAATTGATGGCGATGCCGGAGGTGGACGAGGAAGCAGACGATTTCGACGAACTTGCCGCCGATGGCTCGGAGAGCGACGGTGAAGCCGATCATCCTTCTAGTTCGGATTCCAAGAAGCGGAAGTCGTGGTCGCGCCAGGACGATGAGGATGAATCCGACGAGGACGACGGTCCGCCCCGTCAGCGTAGGAGGAGTGATTCGGTATGTTTTGTCCGTCCGCAGTACTCGCGGCGGTTGTTGTTCGAGGCTAACCTGGGTGCTCTCGTGCAGGGCTCGTATATCATCTCATCTCCAAGTCGTCCCCGAAGGATGGGGCACGATTCCTCTAACTCCTCTCGCTCCGTTACGCCAACGTCCGACTCGCCGTCCCCCATACATCCCAAACCGCCCTCCGAGCGGACCTTAAGGCGTCGCTTGCTTCGTATGCGACGGAAGTATGAAGGCCTCTTGCAGAGTTACTATAACTCCGGCACGTCGTACTCGGAGCCGATATCGTCCCTCGTGTATTCACTTGCGTCCGAGCTTGGTCGAGAAGATAATGATCTACTGTGGCTGGCCATTGTAGGCGTGTCGAGCTTGGAACTGAGTGGCCGAACGATGTCCGGCGTGGGCGTGTCCAATGCGCTGGAGTATGGTGGCTCGGCCGGTTGGGGCGGAGAACGAGGCGAACGAATACGGCAGATCATGAGAGATGAAGTCCACCGATTAAACCCTCCCGATCCCTACGAGCGCGACATCAGAGGCGAAATCAACGGCGTCATCCCGACCACTGCTCGGTCACCAACCGACAAGTCAATCCGACTCTCTCCCGAGCCTCGGTTCCTTCTCATCCGACACTGGTCGCTCTACGACAGTATGCTTCACAGCCCTTACCTGGCATCAAGATTACATGTCTGGACGGAAAATGGTAAGAAGCGGTTACACAAACTGCTCGCGAAAATGGGCATCAGTCTGAATCAAAGTCACCAAAACTATACTCACATGGATATGGAGCTTAAGCGAGTATTACGGCAGCGCCTGCTCAAATACGCACCAATGTACGGACTCGACGGGCTTGTTCCTCCCGAAGCGTCCGGTCATGCTGCATCTCGCGAAGGGTGGGGTTTCGTCCGCTGCTGGGGCTGGAAAGCCTGCCTTTCTGCCGCTGACGTCGGCGTTATCATTGGTGCTATTCTAGAGGTTGGCCCGGAGGATGCTCCTGGCACGTGGGATGCGAAACGGCTATCGAAACCTGCCCTCGAGACCACTGACGATGTATCTACGGAATCTGACCTGTCCAGCCTTCTCCCCCGGTTTTGGAGTGCATACGATGCGCTATCACTGACATCAGAGTCGCCGACGCTGCTCCTTGGCTCACTTTCTCTTGCACAACATCTCCACCGCGCCATCCTGCGGACTGGAACATCGTTATTGTCCAAACATCAGATCCGGCACTTGCGCGCCTTCCGCATCGCAGTTGTCAAGGACGGTCCAGATCTCAAATTGTTCACCAACCCCGGCGCGCTGACGAAGTTGGCTCTCTGGGTCGCGGAGGCCATCCGCGTGCAGGAACGGGAACGAGCGGATACCGTTAAGATCGGCCGCAGACGGGCTGTAGGTACCCCATTAGTTCTGGCTGGGCTTGATGAGGATCGAGGTCTCTATGTTGTCGTTGGCACAGGAGGCGGGGGAGGTGTTGTCGACTTTGCTGCTCTAACCAAACGCCGCGAGGAGAGACGACGGAAAAAGGAGGCCAAGGAGAAGAAGCGGAAAGAGCGAGAGCAGCGTCGAGCCAAACGCGCTGCGGAGCGTGCAGCAAGAGATGATGACGAGGACGAGGACGAGGACGACGAAACTGAAGAATCCTCCTCAGAATCCGAATCGGAGTCCGAGGACGAGCAGGACCTGCGTGGCAACAAGCACCTTTTGCGGAATCGTTTTGGCATCGCCTTCCAGGAAGTGGTCCAGGAAACCAGTGCCCGCGTCCGCATCGATAGTTTCGAGCACTGCGTGGTCGAGGTGCAGAAGGAGGATCTAGGAGGCTTCCTCGAAGCTCTCAGCTTCCGCAGCGTTGTTGGCTGAACGCCGCAACAGGCAAAATGCTCTTAGGTTTACGCCGCGACACAACCCTTTCTTACTGTTTCATGCTCTATAATCTTCTTGATGTGCCCGCTGACACACCAATCTCTTCTTCCCTAGTCATGCTTGAGGCGGTATATGGACGTTTTGATACTCTGTCTTGCACGGGATGCAGCTTCGAGGAGTGCCGGTGACTTTCTTTCTTATTTATTCTGTTTTCTGCTTCAAAGTTCTAAGAAGACATAAAAGGAGGACATGCATAATGACAGGTTGAGAACCATCTTTGCGATCATTCGACTTTCTTTTTCTTCTGCCCTCTGGTGTTCAATGGCCGTGAATCCTTCTTCAGGTTGGTTTGTGTGTATTGACACTTTTGGATATAACTGCATTTTGTCACTGGTTGCTTGGCTTCACTCATGATGACTGATTTGCATCTCCGCACATGTCATGGCGCTTGTGGTGTTTGGAGGGGATTGGCTGCTGACTGTTGTTGATGTTGTTCTGGTCTTGTTCTTTTCTTTGTGCATAGCATATAGCATGATGCATTCAGCAAGATATGAGTTTTTCATTTTCTTCTCTCGACCGAGAATCTCTACTGGGGGAGTTCGGCTTTCTGTCCGATCATCCTCTTTCCCTCGCCGCTTTATCTCCCCACATCGCCTTATCTTTCCCATCTATTTATTGCGCCCTCACCACAAAGAACCCAGCATGTTCCAATTTCCCAAGCTCCAAAAACTTCATATCCACCATGGCTAGCATTCACAACTACCCGGTGCTATCGCGCCAAAGCACCCTGGCTCAATTGCCCCCCGAGTCCACCATCGACGCTCAAGGCCAGATCGCCCAGCTCCTCTCGACCACCTCGCCCAGTCGTCTCGTCGTGCTTGATGACGACCCCACCGGCACCCAAACCTGCCATGACATCGCGGTCCTCACCGTCTGGGACATTGACACCCTTGTCAACGAGTTCCGCCAACCGTCCGGCGGGTTTTTCATCCTGACCAACTCGCGCGCCTTCCCCGCCAGCGAAGCCGAGCAGTTGATCCGCACCATCTGCGAGAACGTCGCCGAAGCCGCCGCACGCACCCATCAAACGGTGGACATCGTCCTCCGCGGCGACAGCACGCTGCGCGGTCACTTCCCCCTCGAAGCCGACGTCGCGCAATCGGTGTTCGGCCCCGCCGCAGCCATCATCCTCGCCCCGTTCTTCTTCCAAGGCGGCCGCCTGACCATCAACGACGTGCACTACGTCGCCGAAGGCGACTCCCTGGTGCCCGCGGGCACCACTCCGTTCGCGCGCGATGCCACCTTCGGCTTCGACAGCTCCAACCTCAGAGACTACGTGATGGAGAAAGCCCCGGGACGGTTCCGCCCGCAGGAGATCCACTCGATCACGATCGAGGACATTCGTCTCGGCGGACCAGAGGTCGTGTGCGAGAAGATAAGACAGATCCCCGAAGGCAACGTAGTCATCGTGAACGCGGCCGCGGAGTCGGATATGCATGTTTTTGTTGCCGGGTTGCTTCTGGGTATGTCCCCCAAGTTCAACAAGATGCATGGCAGACAACCCCCACCCCATTCATCCCCATCCTCTACATCCGGCCCTCCACGCAAACAAAAGCTGAACAAAACAATCAATACTACCAGCCAAAGCCCAAACCCCGTCCGCAAAACCCTACCTCCACCGCACGGCCGCCTCCTTCGTCTCCACCCGCCTCTCCATCCCCACCATCCCGCCGCTCACAGCAAGCGCCCTCGACCTCCCGCACCCGAGAACCACAGGGGGCCTCATCCTGGCCGGCTCGTACGTGCCCAAGACCACCACGCAGCTCAAGCATCTAACGGACCGCCACGGGCCCACGGGCACCAACGCCCTCGCCATCCTGACCCTCGACGTCCCCGCGCTCCTGACCCAGCCCACCCGTTCGTCCACCGCCACCGCCACCGCCAATGCCAACACCCCCAGCATCCAACCCGCCGTCGCAGACCTAGTGACCCAGATCCAGACATCCCTGCAAGCAGGGCGGGATACCTTGGTGATGACGAGCCGGGACCTCGTGACCGGCCAGGGCGACGGGGAGAGTCTCAAGATCGGCGGGAGGGTGGCCGAGGCGTTGGTGGAGGTGTTGAGGCGGGTGGTCGCCCGGGTTAGGCCGCGGTATATTGTTGCTAAGGTATGCAAAGTAGCCCCTATCCATTTGTTTCATTTGGTGTTTTTCCCTCCCCGGCCGTTTTCGGCTCGGTTTCTTTTTTCTCGATGGGTTCGCTCAGATTGGGCTTAGGTCCTGGGAGTTTGCGGGCGTTGTGCTCGAGGTTTGTGGACCGATTGCGCCTGAATGGACGGCTGACTGCTCGGTGGTTCTGGTACTAGGGTGGGATTACTTCGTCCGATGCGGCTACCAAGGGACTGGAGATCAGGCGCGCCATGGTGGTCGGCCAGGCGGCGCCGGGCGTGCCGATTTGGCGTTGTGATGAGCCCACCTCGCGACATGCGGGGATTCCGTTTGTGGTGTTTCCGGGGAATGTCGGCGGGGAGGGGACGTTGTGTGAGCTGGTTGAGGCGTGGAGGTGATCAGAGTGATGAGAGTGGGGTGTGCATATACCACACTAATCATACTAGAAGGACCTTATGGGAGTCATTCATAGACATCATACAGAGTTAAGTCAGTACAACTAAAAGCTGAGATTGAGGTTGTGTTAGAGTGGCCCCTTGGCCACGGAATGTGTAGCTTTATTCGACTAGACCTAACTGGCAGATACACCAGCACCTAAGTCAAAGCATGCAAGGCATTATGTACAGCGATTAACCGTCGGTTCCTGAAAAGCAACTCCAAATGATATCCTGTACCCTTACGGCCATTGAGTCATGGGAAGACAGCTGTCCGGCTCTTACGACCAATTACAAACCGGCGGCACCTCGTCGAGGCGAGGCAGGACCATCTGTAGTATGCCACTTTGGCTGGCTGGCAGGGACATGAGGAGTACGAAGTGAAGACTGGAAGCAGCACAAAGAAAGACGATTAGGGCAGAGAAGTGTAGAAGAACCAACCTTGAAAAAGTATTGCCGGTAGGCGTCGACTTGTTCGCAATGCAAGCAATCCGGATACCAGATCAACTGTGTAATCGGTCAGATACGGCTGCGATTGTGTTTTCATCAATGCTTGTTCGTCCAGAGCAAGGGAACGGCTGATTTCGAACCCAAATACCGTTCATCAATTTCTGGCCCTCAGCTTGTGTTTGGTGGGGAGCCGGCCCCGGTGGAATTGCGTTCTCGGATGCACTATACCACGACTCACGCGGGCGTGGTTGCAGTGCTAGCCACCCCGTTGGAGATACCGTTGGATGTGACCTGGCGCTTGGCAGCCGATTGGGATGCGTCCTGTGAAATCAGTTGATATCAGTTATATCCAGACATCGGATCTGACAAGTTTCACACGATGCGCGATGATGCGCATTTCGTTACGTGGGCTAGCGCCGCTTCGTGATATACTTTGACTATCTTGTTTGCACTTACGTCCAATGAATCGATGCTCCGCTTGTGGCCGCTTGTGTCGGACTTCTTAATGACCTTCTTCTTCGGCCGAAGGGGCTTCTTCTCTCCGGGTTGGAAAACATCATCCGGCAGGTCGAAACTGGTGATGGTTATCAGCATAGGATTCGCTTGAGTGATGCATGAGACACTTACTTGCGAACATGAGTGATAGCCACATCCATGACCCCAGGCTGATATCCAGGCCATGTGGTGCAAAGAGATTTGAACAGCTGTGCATCGGATGAGATATCCAAGGACCGTGAGGCACCTTCACAGGTCAGCGAGTTCACAGGCGAGGCACAATTGACGTACCTGGTTCGAGTGGTTTCAGCTCCAGCCCAATATAGTACGTTGCCGTATACATGACTCGGGTGTCCTCGGCAGCCTTCTCTTCCGTGGCCGGAATCTCTTTGTTTTCCGCACCGTTTTGCGCAGCAGCTTCGTGGGCCGCATCCTTAGTCTCATCAGTGGTCTCGGTTTTGATTTCCCTGTCCTGATATTTAGTGGAGCCAGTCTTGACTGCCTCAATTTCCTCCTCGGAAGAAACCTTGTGTACCCTCTCGAAACCTTTAGGGAATGGATGGGCGACGGCAATTGTAGCCTTTCTGTCAAGGGCACCGACGAGGTGGCGGATCTTAGATTCAACAAGACCGGACCACACCGACTCTGCCTCCTTGGTTCTGCTGGAAGCGGTGATGCTGAGGTAGTATTTGTAGTCCTGAGTGAAGAACGTGTGTCGTTTGAACAAATCATTCCAGTTGAGCTGCTTCATAAAGATCTTATCCACAATGTCACCGCCCCTCTGTAACTCACGAAGAATCACAGTCTTGGTTGACACGGAAACATTGTGAGTGGCGCACATGGAGGGATAGGCAGGCGTGATAATGGGCATCAAATGGAATCGATCACCGTTGTAGATCTATTTTGACATCAATTAATCACCTCGCCACGCAACCTTACTTTTCTCGGGGAAGCTTTACCTTAGGGTTCCACACTTTCATTTGGAGGGGACCATCTTCAATTGGCTTCAGTAAGACGGGCTGGGGCCAGGCCCACTTTGTCATGATCCGGAAGAATTTGCCAACAATGACTGAGCCGGTGGCTTGAGGGTATAGTTGACAGACTCGTGCGACAAGCATTGCCCAAGCGACGCCACCTGGGAATCCCACAACGTTGGCATAAATGGCTCGCTCTAATTAGAAGAGGTGACGTTAGCACAACAAGCACTTCGAATATAGTCTAGGCCCATGGGCATGGGCACTTACGCTGCGCCCAAAGCTTAATGGCGCGCAGGGCCAGGCGGAAGGTTTTTTGCTGAGGTACAAGCTCCAGAATCTGGTCGGTCACACGGGTTCCATTGAGCGATCGAACTTCCTTTTCATCCAAGCCTCGCAGATAATCGTTGTTCTTCAAGTCGAGACTCATGGGCACGGATGGTACGATGAGGCGCGCGAATATCAGATCGATGCTAATGCCCGACAGCTCCATTTTAATGATAGGGACGAACGCATCGGGGACCGGTGTCATTTTCTCGATTGCTCCCGGTGGAGCCATCTGTTCGAGGACAAGGGGGAATTCAGCAAAGAAGTCGTCGATGACGACATGCTTAGGTCCGACAACCAGCGTATCAATATCCGAACCTGTTGACAGTAGGCATCAATATCCCTGATCCTAGTTCTGACAGGAGAATTCGGCCAAACTCACCTGGCCCATAAACACCAAGGCGGTAACTGCCGTACGTGAGAATCTTCCCTCCAGCTGCCTCCACGGCTGCAGGGGAGAGACCCTTCTTGCGGCTGACGACTTTGACAAACTCGATGGCGACACGCTGAAGAAGTAGAAGGACTTGTTGTCTAGAGTGCACAAGTAAAATCAGCATTTGTGTGAAGCAGTGTCAGCCAAACATGACAGGGTTCTTCTCACCTTCGTTCGGTCTCCGCCGGACTTTCGAAGTTATTCTGCGCCTTCAGCTCGGAAATTAGATCATCGTTGGCGGTAAGCTCATCTGGGGTAGGAAGGGCGGTGGAAATAGGAGGAGTAACTCCCCACTGCCGGGCTGGTGGTGCTGTCATGTTGGCTCTTTTGTCTGTCGAGTGTTACAGGATAAAGCGGTTGCGCCGAATAGGCGCTGGGAAGGCAGGCAGGCGACTAGATACCGGGGTAGGCGCGAAAATGAAGGAAAGACTTTAGAAACCGTGGAAAAGAAAATCGCCAGATATGATGAAAGGAATATCTTGAAGTGTGGTAATGACGATATGAAAAGGGAGGATCAAAAGAGAAAGTAAGGAAAAGTGGCTGGAACTGTAACAGCTGCTTTGATCGACTCGGGGTTGGAAATGAGGAGGCGCTTGAAGGTTTATCGCCGGCCACCAGATCAGCAGCTGATTCAGCATTCCAGCCCCATCACGTGTGTGTGGATGATGATTGATTGCGGGAAAGCACAATCCAATTCACTGTTTAACTACTACTAATACTTGCTGCTTGGATCCACCTTAGTCATTACTACTGCCCTCCCAAGGTCATAGACTTGAGTTTCTCCCCCAACCTCTCTCCGATAAAAGAGGTTTCCCCTTTGAAAAAATCGTTCAATTTCATGTCCAACCAGCTGAGATCATTCTTACTCAATCCGGGACCACCAGCCCAATCTGTTGAGTTATGCATTAGATCAAAGACTCGTTCGGGTTGTAGGACAAAACTTACGACCCCAAACCGAGGGAAAGATGTCGAGAGTACCAACTCCCGGTGCCATACAGGCAACCTCATACTCCGAATCCTCGGGCCTGTGTGCTTGGATATAAGTCTCTGCCTCAAGATAACACACGCAGCGCGACACACTTACGGGAAGTATAGATCGGTCTTTCCAGGCAACACCAAGACTCTTGCTTGGATAGAAGCCATGGCCTCCTCGAAATCTCCGTTGTACGGCTCTTGATCTGCCACATTTCCATTCTGCCATGTTTGCAGCATTGTCAGGAGGTTGGCTGGGTCTAAAATGCAAGTCCTATCAACAAAGGTTCCTCAATGCATGCACTCGTGCGTGGCTAGGCTGACCTTTTGAGAGCGCCCAGCTCTCCCAGAAGCTCACCATGAAATCTTCTAGATCTTTGTATCCGAGGACGGTCTCATATAGCTTTTCCCGGTAGAATGCTTGTGAGAATCCCCTTTCACAGAGGGCACGTCAGAATGTCTCCTGCTCCAGACAAAGGACGGGGTGATCGATTATTCTTACCAGCCAGCATAGCCCCTACCAAAAGCCTTCAGTCCGATCTGTTTCTCTCTCTCGCTCCATGTTTTATCAGACTGGCCGGCTTCAAGGACACCGGCATTTCCAGATCCTGCTGAAGAAATGTGCTTCGCTGCGAGTAATGCACTTTTTACGCCCTCAAGGAATACCTGGTTATGGAGCGACGTCCGGGCTGAACCGCAAAATGGCACCACTAGATCCATAAACTCGGGATACTGTGTCGCCCACTGGAAGCTTTGCGCGGCTCCCATTGACCACCCAAGCACTGCGCGTAGATGGGTGATGCCTAGATGCTGGGTCACTAGCATATGCTGAGCGCGAACATTGTCGTAGATGGAGCATTTGGGGAAGGGCCCTTGAATAGGATAATTGGATGGCGATGTTGACTGGCCGTTCCCAAAGAGCGCGGGGATAATTATGTAGTATTCATTGGGGTTCAGGGTCTTGTCTTCTCCGATTAACCAGAAGTTGTCGGAGATCTCTGTGTATATCAGTATAAGTGCATGACTACCTTGTAAGATGAAAATCAAGTCACATACGGCCTGAGAACCAGGAGGGGTAAACAATGGCGGGCGACTTGGGATCTCCAAATGTCTTAAATGCAATATAGGCGTCGACCAGCTTCTCCCCGCTCTGAAGGTCCCAATCTCCCAGCTTGAAGGTCTCGTAATCGTTCTTCGTCATTATATCGGTTGAAGAACTATAGAATCTGAGATTGTAGACTTGCTCGTAGAGCAATCACTGTATGGTGTCGGGTCTGGTGCTGATGGTGAAGTGATGGCGATGGGAAAGATGGGGAATGAGGGGTCGGTCTACAAGCCTTTCCTTGCCTTGTTTGCCTTTGTCTTTCTCTTATCAGAGCACCTGATAGAGTCGTGTTCCCTGCTTGGAATCGAGATCTAGCTACCTACCGATTATCATTTGGAATTGCGATCTTGAGCTGAAGTCTGCATATTGGCACAAGCTTCCAAGCGACAATTCATCGACATTGATGGCTAAGAGTCTAGTAGCGTTATCTGTACTAACTATCTGTCCATAAAGATTTCTCTGTGATATACGCTCGAACATAAATCTAGTACTGAAATTCGTACCCATATTCTCCATTGCTGCTGATCGGTGACTTGTCTAATTGCCATTGGTGTGACCAGACATTGAACAAGACCAGGCTCAAACACCAAGGTCTCAGCCGTGCAGTGTTGCCAGTCTGGTCCCAAGGGAAGGGCTTCATCTTCAGCTCTGGTTGATGATACGAATAACTTGATAAGCCCCCCAATGCTCCCCCGATTTTCCGTCCCGCCGCGGGGTCGTTCGGGACGCTTACCAACGGAAGATGCGGCACGGATAACTTATCGATAGTGGGGACTTAATGCCACGCTATATTTTTGCTCTCAACGTTCGGGAGTGGCGTGGAGGTAAGAGCAAAATCGTGAGACGTCATTGTGGAAATACGGCTCGGTCCTAGCACGGCAAGCACACGCCTGAAATCCCGCCTGTCCTTCGGCTGTCAATCAACGTTCAATCCTAGTCCCAATGTACCACCGTCTCTCCTCAATTACTTTGTGCCACTCTGAGAAGCCGAAATATTCTCTTGCGTAAGTCAATATCCCAGACCCCTCCAGTCATGACGCCTCCATGCTTTCCGGACAGTCTCGATACCAATGATCAAGCACCAACAGCTGGTTTTACTAACGCATGTCTTAGTGTCCCAAAGAGAATTTCCCGTCCCTACATCCGAGCAATCCCTCCTCGATCCTTTTCTCACTCTTCGAATATGTCCAAAGCCCACGATGATTTCGAGAAAGTTCAGGCTTCTCGGCCGGACTTCAAACCGGACATCCCTGTCACCTTTTCGAAGCCTCCCAAGCCCGACTGGAAGGAGGGAGACGGAGGCAACGATGGAGGCGAGAGTTTGAAGAAGAACCATGTGCAAATCGACCCGTACGAGGAAGGGCGTCCCGTGGCTTCGAATTACAAACTTCTCATCTCCGGCATGGTCCCCAGACCCATTGCGCTCATCAGCACGAAGTCCAAGGATGGGAAGACAGCCAATCTGGCCCCGTTCAGTTATTCACAGGTTATCAACCACGATCCTCCACTCTTCATTGTGGGATTTGTTGGCTCCCTTGACAAGGCGAAAGACACCCTGAAGAATCTGGCGGAGACCGAGGAATGTGTGATTAATATTATTTCGGAGCACTTCGTGGAAGCGGCCAATGCGACTGCCATCAACGCTCCCTATGGCGTATCGGAATGGGAGGTCTCGGGATTGCACCAAGAACCGAGTACCATTGTCAAACCAGCTCGGGTCAAAGAATCCATCATGTCCATTGAGGGGAAGCTTGTCGAGACCAAGGAGTTTGAAAGCCGAACGACTCCGGGGAAGAAGTCCAGCGTCCTCGCGATTATTGAGGGTGTCCGGTTCTGGGTTCGAGATGATGCCATCAATGAGGATAAGAGTATTGTCGACCTCAAGGTTCTCAAGCCCATCAGTCGCCTGGGGGGCATTTCATACGGGCGGACTACCGATGCGTTTGAGATTCCTAGACCACAATTCTAGACGGGTTGAGAGGAAAGCTCAGTGATACAGGTAGGAGAGGTATAGGTTCCTCGGGTGATGGCTATTGGTACAGCAGCTAGAGGTATGATAGAACAATAGATAGAATTCTTGAAGATAGAGAGGGTCTGAGAGCTTTGATCTTCCATGAAAAGATTCTAGGACGGTCGTATGGGTTCAGGAAGCCGAGTTGCAAGTTTAGACCTAAAGATGTGAAATCGAACGGCATTGTTGACTGCTTGCTACTTGTTCTAAGGTCAGGGGAGATGAATGGGGAACGGAAGAGAGCCGACCGAGGAAGTATTTCGCATGGAGAAATCCGCCCGAGGTGGAGCCCCCCCCCATACGGAGAACAGATGGAGCACAGTTTCAAGTGTCCACTTTCAAATTCCCCCAGACTCCAACCGCGGAGAGTCCAGACCTTCATATCAGACTACCAGGTGTTCCGTCTCTGAGCGTCGAGACTGCTCTTCGCTACCTCAGTAACCTCAGAGGGACAAGGAGGTGACAAAATCAAAGCTGCCTCTTATCACACACGCTGTCCTTGAAGGGCGAAATGACAGGATAAGTACTGTGGTGGCCAAGTCCCGTAATGAGGCTGTAAGGGAAAGAAATACTTGATAGTCACATGGGCTACAGATCCATCGAAGGCGGGACCAGTCCAATTTTCTTTTCCCCTTTCGTTTCAGTCTTCTTTTCTTCGGCTTGCTTCTGCCGTCCTTCCATAGGGTCTATCTAGCACAGACACCTCGTTCCTATTTCCAATCAGATATCTTCATCCAACTTTTGGTTTCATTACCTGCTTAGCCGGATCGACCGGCTCAACTTGCTTGACTGGGGGTTGTGATCAAGCGATTGATTCATTGGATCACTACTAAGCGGTCAGGCTAGAATCGCTTGGGCTGCCATTCATTCAAGTTCTTGAGGTGGCTTTCTTTTCCGACGCCGCCTCTCTAAGGCTAAGGCAGAAAAGCAAAGTTATTAACTATTAGTCCAAGCGGGCTCTTCTCAACCCGACAACGACTAAGACAGCCATCGCCTGTGGGGGGTCCCTGGGAGGGCATGACCAGGGAGGAACCTCGTACTAACCACTAAGTTAAGTTTCCAACACTACCTTGTCACCCCCTCCCAAGAACAATTCCGCATTTGTTGTTGTCGACCGAAAAGAACACTCGATCCTGCCTCCCCTCGTTAATCTCTGGCTCTCGCCCACCGGGGATCCTGCGATGAACTTGCACCAGTCACATTCGAAATAGCGCCTGTCCATGGATGTTCCCTTCCGTCAAGTGCTTTCGTCTAGGAATCTCCCTCTTTGTCACTCGCCGCGACTTCTATACTCCTAGTCTACGATCCCCCTGCGCATCATCTGCGGGAACGATCGACCGCCATAGAGCTTTCAGACTCAACCATCAGATGCCCAATGTGTCGTGACGCCGGATGACCACTTGCTCGCAATGAGCCATATCTCTCCTCAGAAGAACGGCGGTAATCATGTTCCCCCTCCGCGACAAATTCGCTTTGTGTCGACAGACGGTCAGCCTCAAACAAAGCGGCGGCGTGTCAACGCGGCGTAAGTTCTACTTCGAACTGTTTAGAATTAACTCTCTTCCTGGTTGGGATCATTCACTAACTGGTGGCTGGGATATCCTTTAGGTGTTTAACATGTCGCAAGCGCAAGATACGATGTTCGGGTGAACAACCAGGTGAGAAGGAGCCGAGATCCTCGGGGGTGTAACCCACCGCTAACAGGTCGCATTCGGGTACGTAAGTGTGCAAGACTTGCTCCGACTACAACCATGTATGCCAAGGGTATAGCGAGCCAGCAACACATGCCCGATCGCAATCTGATTCCAGTGCTCGAGCCGCGACAGTCGCATCTTTATCAATCTCGAGTGAGAATACTTCGCGCGTGGCTCTGAAAGTCGAAACTCGTTCCCCAGATCCTCCAGGTCGAGCTACCGTGCCTCCTGTCGAACGCAATGACAAGTCTGTAGCAGAGCCCATTACATCGGAGGTGAAAGAGGCCTTATCTGTCAGGGACATATCTTCCCAAAGAACAAAAGAGCCTGAGCAGCAGACCTTAGCAGAAAGTCCAGAGAGCAGTATGTGGCAGAACGTTCCAGCCGTGATTTATGCATGGTGATTGCTCGGTGCTTACAATGTCTCATCTGTCTAGATCGCACTTCTTTAAGTTCAAGCGCTCGCACACATGTCCCCTATTTCAGGTATTTTGGGCCAACCGCTATAGTTCCCGGCTTCAAGCAGATGGTTTGAACACCTACCTCCCCAAATAAAGGGTGCTGGGATGGTCGCGATACTGATCTTCGTGCTTGCAGGTTGTCCAAGTCAGAGGCTCTCGTAAAAGCAATGCCTCATTATCATCAGGTCTGCACCACTTCGCCTGCCATACGCTTTTATGCGCCACAAGATACTGGCCGTTAACGTACTGATATTGCACATACAGAGTCCTTATCACCGTTACGAAGTCCCAAATTCCCTAATCATGGCATCAACAATGTGGGCGGTTTGCCTGATACCCGTGACAGCCGTGACTATAATACTATTCCGTTCTATGATCGCGATGATACCCTTCCTGTCAGCAATCTCGTGATGCATCTTTGCGATCTGTTTTTCGTGCATCTAGGGTGCAGCTTTCCTTTCCTACAACGAGACAGGTTTCTACGCGACCTGAAAGATAAGAAGGTTGATACAATGCTGGTGGATGCCACCTGCGCACTGTCTGCTCGCTTTTCTCTCCATCCGCTCCTGAGCCCGCCACAGGCACCTTCGATAGATGGATCCGAACCGGCAGTGGATATGAAGAAATCAAACCGCGGCCAGCCATTCGCTCATAGAGCGATGAGTGCTCTGGTCGATTCACTCTCTTGTCCCACCATTTCTGTTGTGCAAGCATGCCTCTTGCTGGCTTACGAGGAATTTGGATCAAATCATGATAGTGGTCTCTGGATGTATTTGGGAATATCCATCAGGATGGCGCAGGATCTTGGGATGCAGAAAGTCCAGGGTCTGGAATACAATTATGGTCAGAGTGGGGTAACTCCGAACGCTGTGCTTACTGGACAAGCTGGGAAGTTAAGAGATGATCAGTATGATGAACCGCAACCTTCGCCAACACTAAGGGGCCAGCCGCGTGACGCGGAGGGTCGACGTGCTTCGGAACGTGAAAGAGTGGATTCTTTTTGGAGCATCTTCTTTCTCGATCGCGTGATCTCATCTGGTACCGGAAGGCCTGTTACCTTACGCGACGAAGATATTGAACTCTGTTTCCCTCTCCAATCCGAATCTAGGTTGCCTAATGGTTGGCCTGCACCATTCCCTCCACTTATCCGCATCATACACTTGTACGGCAGAGTGACAGACCTCATCAATGGGATTCAGGATGTCAAGCACGTAACATCGGATACACTGAAGATGCTTGCCGGCATGGAAAGCGACCTGACAGGTAGTGATACCGCGGACTCGGGTTCCCACCACGCAACAGCTAATCATGGTTATGTACCAGGAATATACCAACGTCTGTCTCCCAGGCTCCACTTCAACGCCGCGAATTTTCAAGCATATGTTAAGGCGAAAGAAGGAACAAATTTCATACTCTTACATTTCGTATGCTCGGCCTTCTTTTTCCTAAGAGCTCCTCTTGTACTAATACAGACTAGTGGTTCCATACCCTGATAGTCTTGCTGCATCAGCCCACGCTCCTTCATTCTTTTGGAGGGACAATTCAGCATCTATATCCAAACAGCCGAGAGTTGTCAATGTCCTCAGCTAAAACCATTGCTGACATCCTCTCTTTTTCAGAGCTTGTTGACGGAAAGAGTTTTATCGGCAACCCTTTCACAAGCCAGCCGATGTACATTGCTGCCTGCGCTTTTCTGATGGAGAGTGCTTATTACTCCTCGCCATCATCGAGGTCGTGTTCGCCTCCCATCCAACCCCTCTTGACAAATCAATCTAGTGGATTTGTGATGCCCAGCATAGACCCGGCCACCGGCTCTGAACGAAAACCCACCGCTAAGCACATTCTTCTCGCATCTGCGGCAAAAGAGAATTATCAGAGATGCTACAAAGCGTTGAAGGCGCTCGAGACCTATTGGGAAGGTACAAGGTACATTTTAACGGTCTTAGACCAAAAGGCCAAAGGGATCGTGGACCCACTCTTATATACTGTGGAAGAGATGGAAAGTACTGCTGAGCTATCTTCTGTCCAGCCACTCGCTGCAGCACCATGGCGACGGACGCAGTCGTCTGATGATGCGGTGGGTGCTGGCCCATCAGCGCCGGGCGCAGATATGCCAGCAGAAGGAAGGCGATCGCCGAAAATAGATCCGAGTCAAGGTAGGATTTATCATCTGATTCTCTCTACCTTGATGTGAGCTGACTGCCTTCGAGCTATTGGATGGGCTCTTACTGGCGCGACAAACTCTTCGCAGCCGAATCTAAGCCTTCTTTATCAGATGCCTGCACAGACAGAACCTATCCCGGAAAAGCCAACATATTCATCTCAATATAGCCATGGCTACACCAATATACCAGGTGTTCAAGCTAATGGTGGTGGGGCTTCGTACTCATACTCACAGACCACAGAGTCATCCCGGAGCACAAAGGCGACTCCAGGGCCATCAATGGCCTCTGCAACTGCGCAATACTCACCCCTGGCATCCTCCAGTAGAGTCACCACGTCTGATGCTAATCTGCTCCTTGGTTTGAATACGGCTTTTCCCGGTTCGACCTCCCGTCCACCTAATTCTCGGTCGGCTTTCGGCCATCAAATGCCTTCTGCTGCATGCGGGCTCGAGGGGCACGCACAAGTATATAATTACAATATCCCTTCTACTGTGAGTGACGCTCATACAGGGAGCGGGCACATGATTGCGCAGAGCGCTGGGCTGCATCTTGATGTCGAACCTCATGCTGGAAATGTGTTTATCGAGAGCCAGGACGTTGATATGGCTATGCTCCAACAGAACGACCAGCTTCCCTTCGCTTTCAGCGGTGAGATACTTCCATGGCTTGAATATCTTCCACAGGACGTCCTCAATTACTTTGGCGATAATCAAAGTTATCCGGATATGCTGAGTCCGGATGACGAAACCCCTCGACCACATTAGTCTGTTATCGTACCATACGATCCCTACGATATCT